ATATATATATATATATATAAAAAAAAGGCAATATGTGGATTGCAATACTAGTTTATAAGGGAAATAGTTTTGCTCTGTATATTTTGTTACTTTTCAGATTTAATAAGACTTGCATCTGTAAAAATGCCTAAACAACACTGTAGTCTGGTACAGTGCAGCTGATTATTTGCTATAAAGCATTATTTGTAAAGATCATTTTTTTTTTACTTAATGAAAACATATGTACACATGATCCAATATATACAATTTTACTGCACCTATTTTTCTAACAAATTTTCTAATTTTTTTAAGTGTTTGATTTAAAGTTTCAGACTCCAAAGATGAAGGGACTGCTTGTTTATATCACAGTTGTATTCTCTCTAGTAGAGAGCATTTCTGTGGCCATTCCTTCCCCACTAATCTCCCCCTTTCCTTGAAAATCTGTTAGAAAGTGAGATACAGTATGTTGTCAGCTCTTCTCTTCCATTTACAACATCTATGCTGCTTTATACTTGAGTTGAATCTTGTGTGGTTTATTTTTTTTTTTATTTGCAGCAGCAGCCATCCAAATAAAAGATCTGCAAAGTAACAAAGGACTCTGCGTTGGGTGTTTCTTGTGTGGGGTGTATTTTGCATAAGTTGTGCTACAGCTTTTAGTTTTGAGCTTTGCATATGAATCCCTGTCTAACTCTTGCATCCTTAAAAGCCACATTGACCCAGAAAGGAAGTAAGGGGAATGCCTGGTACAGCCAGGAGAGGTATGTAACAGCAGCACTAGTTACAGTTGTATGTTGAGGTTTCTGCTGCCAGCAATGCTACACCTGAGGCAAAGTGAACTGATGCAGGAGTTGGGCCTCATGCTTGCATTTCCACCAGTTCAGGTGGGTAAATGATAACCTCAGCCAGACTCCTCTCCTGTGCTGTACACTGTGTGGATCAGATGGGTATAGCACTGTCTTGCATCAGCAGCTGATAACAAGGAATGTCCTACAACCACACTAATTCTATTAGATCTTGTATATAAAACCTTGAGTACATAACATGCTTTCAGGTTCATGACTCTATTCCTCAAAAGCCTGAGTAGGTATGTTGCAAGGTACCTTTCCCCAGACCTGCATGGTAAATGCCCCTTCAATTCAAAACATCACACAGGGGGAAGGAAAACTTGTGTGCTTATCTCTCAGGACTTAAAGTTGTCCTTATTTGAATGCAGTAGAAGTGTGAAGTCAATCCATGTGTTTGGGCTGCAGAGCACTTCCTGCCATGGGAGCACTGACTGGGAAACAAGGTCTGCAGAGCCAAACAACATCTCTGGGGGAAAGAAAAAAAAAAGGAAAGGTCACAGAGTTACTTTTCACCTGGCCTTACCTAACTTCTAGACCTTGAGTAGGCAACAAAACCACCTGCTTCTCACACTTCTGTAGCAATTTCTGCTGTTCTATGGCTCCTGAGGCATTAATTGAGACAAATTATGTTTGAAGCATTATTTAAACCCTGTTAAACTCAGATCACTTTCTGAAGAACTCTGATTGCAGCCAAGGTGGTTTTTGGTTGGGTGACTAAAAGCAGAGGAGCAAGTGTACATACTAATAGTGCCATTCTGCTATTAAGCCTCCTGCTTCAGAGGGACTTTAACACATGACTAGGCTGAGAGCTTGGATAGTCTTCTCCACTCAGGAGCAGGTAGTCCCTGCTCTAGCAGAAAGGAAACACGGGGTAGGACAATCCAAAGAAGCTCATGAGGAACCCTGCACAGCACTGACTTATTACTAATCATAATACCCCTCTAAAATGCATGCTGATACCATAACAATGACTGAGCCTTTCATCTCAAATACTGAACCCAAGCACTTACTCTCTAGGAGGACAGGGGTGGGAGACCACTGAGCAGTCTTCAAGTGACAATGCTTCTCTACTCTGCTCAACTACCAGTTAAGCAGGGCCTAGCCAGTGAGAAGAGGGTTTCTTAGAAATTTCTCAGCCTTGAGAAAGGGAGCTTGCTCTTAGGTTAGAACGGAGCCCAAAACTCAGTTGTGCAATAGCCCCTTCTGAGGAAGTTTCACTTTCTGTATCTCCCCTTGATTGATTTGTGGCAGTAGTCAACTAGGTCATTAGTTCTTGTGCTTCCCTTTGATGAGCTAGTATTTAAAATCAGCTCATCAAAGCTATGAATTAGCTAATTCATAGAAAACAGCTCAAGTCAAGGAACGAGTGCTGAGTTAACTCCACCCAGCTTTTCTGTGCCTCTCAGCATGGCCAGACCCTGACCCTAGAAGTTACCATGCTCACAGCTGGCTTGTCTGAAAATTCCCACTGACAACCTTGAGCTTCTGCCCAGACCTGAACTAAAACACATGCATTTGTTCTTGCAGGATCAAAGCCCAAAATTGCAAGTTACTGAGGATAGGGCCTGGGGCTGTAGGTGTAGGCACAGTGTAAACATTACTTAGAATATAAACTAAATTAACTGTTCCCAAAATCATCTTCAATTTTTAGTGATAAAGAACTTCTACCTGCACCAAGCTTAGCTCCTCCTAGGAACTGATGGCTTGAGCTGAAAGTTGACTGATCCCAGACTGTCAAGTGTAGACGTGATTGCTGTAGCTGAGCTGGGGTAACACCATCAAAGACAAACAGGTGCTTCCACTGGGGACAGGCATCTCTCTTCAGCATAGGAGACTTTTGCTTTACCTCTGCTTGATCTGGAAGGATAAGACAACTTCCCCCCCCACACACACACACAGAAAAGTGTTCAGCAAGGTTACTGATTTCTTAACCACAAGATTGTACCTTTGCAATAACCAGCTAGGGCCCTTTGGTATGCCTTAAGTAGCATTTTTGAAAGTTCAGCTGAAGTGGAAGGTAGAAACATGGTGCTATTGTGTTTATTTTAGGATTTGATCCTTTTCCTGTCTGCCTTTGGTGTGAGTGCAAGCAGGTTCTTCTGGTCAGTTTTTCCTTTGCTGTCAGTGGTTGCTGAAGGAGTCTTCACTCCTTTCCAATATCCAGGAATATCCTGGAATACCCTTTCAAATAACTCCTTGCCAGTTATTCAGTGGTGCCTGAAGCCTGCCTTTCAGTCGATTTCATAGAGGATAGGTGCCACAGAAGGTGAAAGGGCTTTATAGGGTGCTGTAAGTGTACCCTGGTGTCGTACTTCTAATGACGTCGGATGCCTGGCAGTGAGAAAGTTAAATGACCCCATACACAGGCTACTCAGCACACTGAAGAAAAATTCCAGTCCCTCCTCTTTTAAGACATCTAGAATGAAGAGGATAAAAGTTTCCTTTTCAATGTGTCTAAAGCTGTATTTAATTCTGCAAAGACACAGCTGAAAATAAGAATGAAAACACCCTCCTGACTTCCACTTTTTTTTCCCCTCTCTTCTCCTAATATCTAAAAGCTAAAGCTAGTGAACTGGAATTTACTGAAGTCATTAAAATTTACAAAGTTCCATTCAGGGCACCCAAATGTCACCATTACAAGGAAGCCTGAGTTAAGAACATGGACAGTGCCACTTTCACATGCCAGTCTCCTCCTGAAAACATCTTAGCACATACATGTGCACAGAACATGTATGACATTGTCCATTTCAAGTGTTACATCTCACACCTACCCTTTCGGCATTCCAGCAGATCTCAGCACAGGCAAGTTCTTGGCCCCAAATATCATAACCTGAAGCTGGCAGCTGGGAACTCCTTGGCCTTTTTTTCCTGAAACAGGACCATTTGTCACATGAAATAATGAGTTAATTCAGCAGATAGTTTATGTTGCTGCTATAAGGGAGCAGGAAACTGCCCAAGCAGTACTACTGAGACAAGGACTCACAGGGCTGTATGGGGATCATTTGAAAGACTTTAACCTGCTTGTACAGTGTGAATCACGCTGACAAAAATGAGCAATGAGTAACAGGTTCCTTTGTGATTCCTGTTCCAAAGACAGTATTTGTCTTATTTCTCTTGTATCTGTTGCAGAGAAATGCTCCCGTGGGTACTGCCCTGTGTTAACCATTCACAAAGCCAGACACAGGAGAAACAGCCAAACCAAGGTATGATACTGCTCCTCTGTTACAGCTCTAGTTATAGAGGCCAAAAGACACAACACACAGGAAGCATAGGGAAGAACAACGGAAGAAAGAAGCTGGTAACTTTGGGGTCATTTGGAAAAGAAAAGAGAACAAAATGAATCTGACAGCTAATTAGATCTTTGTGTTGGTCATTACCCATTTCTACAGTCCCAACACAGAGAGTATTACCGCAGCTCTGAACTTCTATATACACCTCACTGTGAGCTTGGGAGGTAAGGAAAATTAGGTGGTACTATCCCTCACCCCCAAAGTGTTCATTTTACTCCGCTAGGAGGTGTTTGCTCTGACACATTACAGCAAAAACTGAATCCTGACTGCATATTTTGAACCTAAAGTCTTCCAAGTGAAACAATCTAAAATGAGACCACTGGAAGAAGCCAAGGGTGCTGGTCTGGTACCCTTGCAGCCAGTTCCCTTCCACTTTTCCTTAACTTGGCAGTCTCTACCTTGGGCAGTAAAACTGCGGCATTGCCTCCAGATGGTCTACTGGCAATACCACGGTAGGCGCAAGCTTGACAAACAGCTGGATGCATCATGCTGCTGCCATTATGATGTGCAGCTTTTGTTGGCATTAAAAAGAACAAAAAGATAAAGATGGCAAATGTTTGGATTTTTTATTACTTCACAATATGAGACAAGCCACCATTTGCAGAAGCTGTTATAAACCACATACAAGAATAACATACAGACACACTGTCAGTGCTTCTATGATCCCAAGTCTTTTCTAGCCAAGGGATTCATCTATACCAAAACATTTTGTACCTTCAGATTGCAAGGTTTTATACTGGGCTGGTACTGACAGTCTTGCAGACACAAGGAGCTCACCACTGTACTGGATAGGATCATCTTCAGGCTTGTCAAGCTGAAGAAAGGGAAATACAGAAATCTGTATTACTGCAATCATTCAATTCCACATCTTTCGCACAGCTTATGTATGTTTGCAACACGTCTTACTGAGGGGCTGGACTGACAGCATTTTCCTCTCAGTGATCTCAGAAGGGTGATCTTTTTCATAGCTTTCACTACATTTTGCTTTTAAGACACAACTAAGCACAAGAACTAAGAATCACCTTGGGCTTGAGCTGGTACCAGCTGAACGACTGCATCGAGCTCTCTTCGAAATTCCATGCTGCCAGTGGAATCACCACTTCCCCCAGGAACACCCTGTATTTGAGTGCTCCTGCATGCCACACGGAGATCTGAAGCTGCCGACTTCCCAGCTGGGAGTATTCAATCTTGTACTAGGAAGATAAACAGCATTTACAAAGCAACACAGGGGAGGCGGGGGGGGGCCGTGCTCACTACCTGCTCGAAGGAGCCCAGCCCCGGCGTGGCTGAAGGCGTCTGGAGGCAGGCAGAGCCTCGCCGTCTGAGCGTGCTTTGCAGACTGCATATTGCCCCTCCTCAAGTGCTAAACAATGCTCAGCCAAACAGGAAACAACATTCCGGGAGTTCTTGACCTGCTGCCTTGCTTATGATTTTGATTATTAATTCACAACTTTAAATTCTTGACTCTTTTTTTTTCTGGTGTTTTGTTTTTGTTTTCTGTTGTTGGTTTTGATGGTTTATTTTAACACATATTTCTGTTTTACACTCCCAGCAGAATTTGACTGCTCTGGAGGACATTTCAACGTGCTAAAACTTCCATTCTGGTCAGTGGACATCTCCTCAGGATAAGGAAGTAATTCAGCTGACCACTAATTAAAGCCCTGATCCACTCTCAAAACATATAGTTAGAGCCCTTTGAGACATCATTTGGTATCTAATATACCCCCACAAGACTGGCAAATGTGACACCCGGCCTAAGGAGACCTGTACCCACCTGGACTGAAAGCTCGAGGCGATGGCATGGACAAGGACATCGCTACCCACATTTAGGCTGCTGAATCACAGGCTGGGTGTAGGCTCTGGGGCTGATCACCCTGGGCTCCAGTGAGTCCCAAGAGCACTCATGCACCTCTCACTCATGCAGCTTCCTAAATGCAGGTGCCTTAATTCACAGCTGAATCCCACAGAGGTGGATCTCAGTGCCAAGATGAAGTTTACCTGCACTTTCTGCTACTATAGATAAACTAATAATTAAGCTAATTTAAACAGATTTCTAACTAAGCTACCTTTAGCGTTCCTGCAGCCAGCTCAGGCATGGCTCTCACTGTCCCTTTATCAGTTCTGCACAACTCTGGCATTGAAAAGGGACTATAAAATTAGGACCAATTATAACAACTTCAAGCTCTTTTTTTCTCTCAACTTAAACCCTACATACAGACTTTGGGCTACATAAGAATTACAAACATTACGAAAGTCTTTTTTTGTTGTTATCAAATTTTAACAAAGGTATTTTCAAATATTTTGCCTGTTTCCCTTGCTACAAATTCTTGATGTTCATACACACAAAGCGATGGGGGTACCACTGAAACTTTTGTGTAGTTCAAGGAGTAACAATACAACTTGGTCCTTCTGTTAACTTTGTTTTGTATGTCTTCCAAGACAACATGCTACTGAAGGACTCATCATCTTATGTGTTACTGCAGCTCACCAATGCACAAAAAAAAAAAAAAAAAAAATGGATTTGTAGTCATCCAAGAATAAAACTGGAGCTGGGAACAACCAAACTAATCCAGCCTCTCCCAGCTGACAGTTCTCAGCTTCAGCTTCACATTTTATTAATAGTCTGAAGTGAGAATAATGTCTCCCATTTTCTATACACAGTTCTTACAAGGATGCAAGAAGTAATATTGGTAAGCAGTAAGGAATTAAATTCATAACTACTGTTCTCTGGTAGGTGTATTAGTGTTTGGAATGAGACACTACAAGGAGATGCCCTGGCATCAGCTGCACAGGGAAAAGGAAGCAGATAACATTTTAGAAGTGGTGGAATTCAGTTAGTATTCAACTAACTGCAGAGAGACACTCCCAGTGGCACTGACAGAAGGAGTATCACCTGGAAATTGTTGTTGTCAGTGATTCCTAGCTTTGCCCATCCAGGATAATTCTGAACTTGCAGGATTGTCTGTTTCAAAAGGAGACATTACTATGGAAAAATCACACTTAGCAGCACACAATTGCAAATGGTACCTTCAAAGTCTCATCAAATTCTGGATCCACTGTGCTCTTTTTCACAGCTGTCTTCCGCTTGCTCCGAGGACATTTATCAGGAAGTAAGTAAACCTTAACATACCTTGTAGATAGAGAGAAGGATATGTGGAAGTGATATATGAAGGAGGTTTTTCTTAATTCTTAAGCAATCTTATTGACTTTGTAATTTTCCAAGCAATGAAATAGCAAATTGTGATTTATATCCTTTTTCAATAAAAGCAGACAGACTATAAGGATCCCTATATATCATTCAGCTAATGTGTTTCAAATCTATCCTAACTGGAAAAGGATCAGGATCTAAACAGGAATCTTTTGTTTTCTTACTCTTGGCCTCTGATAAAATAGCCACCAATGAAGTCACCTTGTCAGCTGCAGTGACAGTTTTTTATTATGAAAACAGAGTCTATTATGTGTTCAAATACAGAAAAAAAAAAAGATCAATTAAATCAACTTTAGCATCATAGCTGCTTGTTCATGAAGAAAATCTCTCATCTTTACAATACCAGGTGCCATGTAGCAAGAAAAGGTATAATAATTCAAATAATACATTATAATTCATAACTCTTACAAACACTAATTGTTATAATAGCTACTAGAGTGAAAGTGGGAGACTGTCTAAAGTGCTCAAAATTGCCCTAGCATCGATTCAAGGGAGAACAGTAAAAAAAAAAAATTCTGGAAGGTGAGTTGGACCAATATCAAGCACCAATGATTTCTACCCAAAGTTTCTCATGTGTAGGTCACATGAATACTAATACTTAAATGTTCCCCTTAATATGAGTTCAGTGGGCTGTATTTGTGTTATGGCTTCAAAACTAAAGAGTACTAGGAATAGAGAGGGCTCGCTCACAGCTTGGCAGGGAAAGGAATGATTGTTAACATAATACTAAGTATTTTTAAACCATACTTGTGGTATATATTTCATATATTAAGATTTAAACCAATTTCAAAACTAACTTACTGGGTAAATAAATTCAGCTATATCTCACATCATCACTGCAGAACTTACACCACTTCTCTACTCTTTCCAAACTTAGCTGTAGGTAAAAATTACTTTTTAAAATAGGCAGGTACTAGAAGTTTTAGCCTCTTGCTCTATCAGCTCAAATCAATTTAATGAAAAAGCAGCCAGTCAGATTTCAAACAAGCTAAAGAATTCAAGCGGTTCTAAACACCAGTTGAAAGTCTGCTTTTCAGCAAGTGTGTTAAGTGAGCACACTGACTGTACTTTTCCTGTTGGCATGGAAACCAGCAGAAATATATAAATACATACCAACAGAGAACACAGTGTTCACTACCCAGCACTTCTCCCATTGCCTTTCAGGCTTCCTGCTACTGTTTATCTGGCTTGATTACCAGGAGACTTAAAGAACCTTGACCCACTTCTGAAGTGCTCCCAGACAGCCCTGCTCCACAAGCTGCTGTTCCAGCAAGGCTCCTTTCATCACCAAGCCCATCTTTATGAACGTCTTCTGCTAAATGCACAAAAGCCACGTTCCTCCTGGGTGAAGGTGACTGCAACTCCACAATTCCAATATGGTCACTCAAGTGCTCAAACATGGTGTGCCAGCAGAGGCAAGAACAGGTGGTTAGACATTCTGCCCATTGATTTTCTATGAACGGTTGCTGCACAGTCTGAGAGGATCGTTTAAAAAAAACAGACAAATCACCAAAGCTTAAGCATCCAGCCAAAAATTCCTATGGCATATTTATCTATGGAAGCAGGTATTTCTCCCTCTTACAATAACACAATTATTAAACACCGTTGGATTTTTAAAACATGTTGCAGTATCTGAAATTTCTATTTTTATTCCAATGGAAGCACAGTAGTACAGAGATCACCCAGTGACCCACAATGAGTCAGTAGATGAATTAGGAACATGACATCTCATGTTTTAGCCACTTATGTATTAAATTTGCAGGCACAACTTAAAAGCTAAAATCTGAATAGCTACTCTTGAGATCCAAAAGGTACTCACCAGCCACACAGATACCCACAGGTATCTGCTTGCTCACAGGCAGGGGAACAGACAAGTACTAGCAGAAAATGATCAGAATGGAAAAATGCTATGAAACCTATTTGTCTTGCAGTATGTATATGTAAGAAGAGCTGGTGTATGTGCTAGGATGTTGTGAAGGTGCTAATATGGCATAGCAACATATATCAATTAATTTCAAATATAACATACAGTAAGTATTTTAAAACCAAAATATTTTCCTTATTTTTTTTTTTTCTCCTCCTCTACATAATACTCACGGGTTACACTTTTTCTTCTTCTCTTCACCATATGCCAGGTTCTTGCATCCCTTGATGCAAATTTCTAAGATGCAAGCTTTGAAGATGTATCTTATGGCAAACTCTATTTCTCCCGTAACATTAGCCTTGCCAAAACTGCCAGACTCGGTGCAAGTGCTGTTAAGGCTATACAGACTCCCCTAATAAAAGAAAAAAATTTGGGGAAAGTAGCTTCAGATCAAACAGGACAAAACATTTCTTTCCCTCAAAGGCCATTTTCTTTGAGACATGACTGTAGAGCTACTGCAAATCACAAAGATTTAAGGTAACCTGTATAAACCATACTGTTGCTTCCACAACAGCCCTGAAAATTATGACTGTAATTGCAACTCTACCACTTTGTCTTCTTCTCTTCAGTAAGCTCTCTAGGCTAAAAAAAGTGCTCTCCTAGGTAACTCCTAGATCTAGAAATTGTCTTCAAATAAAACTGCTACATGGCTTCTCATGAGAAAAATGGGATAAGTGTCTGAAAGGGAGTGAAAAAAAACCCTCTGAAATCTAAGGGCATACAAAACATTGACCTAGACTGCTTTTAAAACATAGCTCATAGTAGGGAATACTGCCAAGATATTAGGTTCTATCATATATTAAAGAAAATAAAACTGGCCTTGTGCATCCAGTAAATATTGTACAAGATGCCCCAATTCCATATAAAAAAGTACATACTCTGTACTGCAGCAGACCACTCAGGAAAGATTAAAATACAAAGGCATCCTGTCATATGTTGGTGCATAAAGAAGGCATTTCCTAGCTCACCTCAGCTATTTTGTTCCTCTTTTATTTACTTTCACCTATGGGGCAAAGGTTTGGATGCTGTCCATCCGCATATATGAACAGCATTTACAGAGGCCATGAAACTGCAATGAAGGACGAGACTCTAATCCTCTCTTTGGCCCAGCAGAGACATGTAGCTCCATAGTGCTATCTAGCCTTCGTTGTAACAAATTCTCAACTCAATCAAAATTGTTTGGTCTCCATCAATATAAAATGATATTCTTTAAGGTGAGTCCTAGAACCTTTTTACACAACATATGTCATGAAGACACAATCATGTCTTACTAGATTGGTAAGATATCTGTGTTAGATCACTCCTCCCTCTAAACATACACAACAGCCACACAGGACTGGTTAACCAAGGAGTTCTGCACTGCACAACCCAGCAGCTAAGAGAGCAGAGTAGTGCTTATAAGATCGTATCTCTCTTCCAGGCAGATGCTCTTCTTCGCTTGTGCAGCTTAGCCAAACTAATTTTAAAATTCACACCAACACCTTAATTAGATTAAAAAAGCTATCTACTCTATTTTATAAGCTCTAAGTAACATACAAACCTGACAAAAGAAGGGTCAGAGTGTTTACTGAGGAAGTCACAAGAAGTGTTAGGACTTTTTTGACCTGATGCATGTAATCTTGCTTCCTCCATGAGACATGTCAGTGTAATCAATCTTCCTTGAAGCTTTGTTCAGCTCTGGTCTTTCACTCACTGACATATTTTTATTCATCTGACTAGAAAAATGCTTCATGAGAAAAGGAATGCAAAAATATTTTTGTCTTAGCTCATATGTCCTAAGAAAAGTTCTGCAAAAGTCCCTAATTCCACAGAACCTCTTACTCATTTAGAGAAGCTGGATAGGTGTTCTGACTAATGATGTTTGGACTTAAAATCACTACGTGTGTCTCCCATCTGATCAGTGTAGAAATCACTCATCCTTTTGGTTCAGTGAACAGGGATTTAGCAATTACTTCATATTTGCACTCCTGCTGGCACATCTGGAACCAATACTGTCTGCTATTTTGGAAGATACATTTTCACATAGTGGTCATCAACATCCAACATTTACCCATAAAGGGAAGTTTAACAGAATTTGACTTCCCACTTCATAAGACAGTAGAAAATATTTCCAGCTTAAGCTTGGGCTTTTTATAGCTCAGTTTAAACAGTTGTCATTAAAATCACAAACATCATCCAAAACTGTTATCCATTTGTCAGTTTAACACCTCAGACCCCACAGTGCAGCAAACTATGAGAGACTGCCAAGGTCCTTGGATGTGGTTATACTCCTCTGCAAAGTGAGCAGGCTGGTTTAACAGTGATTCCCTAAAAGTCACTTTAGTTTCTTTACAGCATCAGTCATGGATTCTTTGGGTACTTCACTCTGCTTAACCTCATCACTAATACATAGAAATTAGCTTCCACAGGTAATCACAGAGGCTTTAAAGCAGGTGCTGAATTCATTTCCTTCTCTCTCATTTGCAGTATTCAAAATGCCATCCATCAGAATAGGATTCAGTGCCAACCCCTAAACCTATGAACTGTTCCCCTGGTTTCCATCATTGTCAGCTTCCTCTTCACTGGCATTCTGACATTTGAATTTCCCCTGACATTTCCATTACAACAGTTCTGGCAGAATAACAAAATCCTTCTGTTAAATCAAGTTTTAAGAGAAAAAGATAGCCACTAGGTTAGAAAGAACCATGTTCACAATCCCAACCCCAGTATAAACTGGGAAGAACATTAGGTGCATTTGCAAAATTCAGAGGAAGCTGCTCTATCAATTATTCATTATTAATGGATATATCCATCAATTATTCATCATTAATTTGATTGGTCTTATGCTGCAAAAAGTTCACCATGTTATTAGGAAGACCATGCCAAAAGCAGTCAGTCTTTCATTGGATACAAGCTCAAGTTCTTCAGTCATTTTGTAATACAATCCAAAATACACTGACATTTTTCACAAGATCTTGGCTCTCGTATCTGTTCCCATATATTTTATATATTAGCTTTTATACCCTGTTCTGTTTTGCTTCATCCTTTAACTTACATGTTTTCTGCCATCACAAAAAACTGTATCACTTGTGGGACTAGTTGTTATGTCATCTTCCTCCTTGCAATTCCTTTTGGTCAGAATTCCACTGTCATTCTGGGCCCCAGTGATGAGCTGTTGGAGACTGGGTGTACTTTTCATCTGAAAGAAATTCAGTAAGTAATGTTGTTTTTTTAAAATTTAAGAAAAATGCCCTGATTCCTTTGAATGCTAACAGAAGAAGATTCAGGAAATAGCTACAATTCACTCTGATCAATGTCACACGGGTGGCACACCTTCAGAGACAACGTAGCAACTTAATTTACATGATGATTTACAACTCCCAGCTGGTAGTACATTTGTTACATTTGTAATTTTCTAAAAAACAACATATGACCACTCATTTAAGGATCACAGCCACAGCAGTTACTAACAACAGCCTACTAATAACACATCAGAAGTAGCAGTATACTAATAAGAGATCTTATTGGCCTTTAATTAAAAATAGTATTTTGAAATATGCATGACACATGCCCATGTATACCTATGCAAGAATGAACATAAGTTGAAAGAGACTTGAAAATAGAAACAGATTCACAAGTTCTTGTTTAGCTTTGATTACAGAAAAAGTTTCAATTTCTGTGGTGTTCTTGACTTTGCTTCGACTAAGTCCATTCACCTTTCCAATTTTCCCATGAAAGCCCTACTAATTTGTGAAAAATTAAGACATTTCAGAAAAATTAAGAATATTTTATTTAGCAAAACTCCTTGAGATTTACTTTAAGCCACCTCTGTTACCATTAACAGTTAATAGAATCAAGTGCCAAAAGACTAACAACATATGGCTAGAGATATACTGAAAATAAATTTTAGCTAATTCTGGCACATCATTACCCCTAGACAATACAATCTATGAAAAGTATGTTCACAGCTCAACGGGTAGGAAAAGAATAAGGTAAGAAATTTTACATGGTTAGGATCTAAGAAAATAGTCTTCTTAAAAAAAAAAAAATAAATTTTGTAACAGGGAGTACTTGAAAGACTAGAAAGGATACAATCTTACAGAATAAAAAAGGTCCCTGATTCAGTGAAACAGGGCTCCGACACACAAACAACAGTGAAATCTCTTTCTAAATCTGCATTGCAAAAAGGTGGACATAAAGTCCTAAATCTTTAAATTGGCAATGAAAAACCCACACAAATAATTTAGAATCTCCTATTAATACTTCTCTCAAGCCAAAGACTCTGTATCAATCTTTTAAATGTGACATGCTGTGTGTGATCAACACACCATGAAGCACAGTTTAAGTTCATATTATCTCCAACTCTGCTGTTTTTCAATGTATTAGAAGAGCAGTGCTCTGCCTGTGGAATAAAGTAACACTGAAGTGTGGTTTGCCACAATGAAAGCAGCACTTGGGTAGTTAATAATTGTTGCCAAGTTTGTTTACAATAATTGCATACAAACATACCAGAACTAATTTCACAGAGTTCGCAGACCCTGCTAGACCAATTCAAACCTCCAGTCCATGCAGTCTAACATCCTGTATCTTCCACTTGTCAACACCTAACAGTTCAGAGGGCATTGAGGGAGCTGTGAGCAATATTTACCATGAGGTCTAGCCTGAAGCAAAAAGCTTTTCTCAGTGCCTTACTCGGGCACTCAGCAGACCACATTTACCTCATTCAGATGAACAAGGTGATTCACTAATTACCCACTCTGTGGAAAATTCAGTATAGACAAAGTTCAGGCACTTGAGAGGTAAAAGTGTACAGAAGAAAATATTCGGTGTAACTTTAAAGCAGGTATGTGACATCATCTTCAGCCCTGTACAATTTCTGGGAAAAAAAGATGACTGGATTTTTCTCAAACTTCTCAAGAAAACACTGAAAGCTAGAGACAGTAACCAAAGGAAAAGGAAAAGGGAATTTTCCCAGCAACTAACAGCAGTCAACATTTTTTCTTTGCCAAATTAAAGACTGTTCAGAAAGTGTCAAGATGAACCTTTGGCAGTTATAGTTTGGTTCTGTTCAGCAGCAAGAGGGGCAGGCAGAGGACAATAGACAGAGCACCTCCCTGCATCCCAACAATCATGGAAAGCAGACGTCAAACAGCCTCAAGAGAGTCTGTGAGCACCCCAGAGTCGAAGAACACATCCTCTCCCTCTCTGTGTAAGGGTCTTAGTAAAATCTCCATCTAGGATTTCAGCTCTAGGCTGAGATCAAGTGTGCAGACTCAGTCAAAAGTCTCATGAAGAATCTGTTCTGAAGAGTTCTGGCCATGGTCAGTGAGCATCAGCTAAACCCTGCTCATGTAATAAAAGTAAAATTCCACTCTGAAAGTTGTTGTTCTTACAAACATATTCCATTCCTGAAACAGCTCTTACAGTTAGAGACTTTGTATAGTAATATGAATACCCTGCTTGTAATGTTGATGGCAGTGTCAGACTGGCTCCTTCTTTGCTTCCTTCTTTCCACGTTCTGCCCATAAGCAGTGGCGAGGAGACATCTGTCAGCCATGTCATTCTGGGATTTAGAGATTTCTGAAGTGAAAATATAGAGAGAAGTCACTATAAGAAATGTTGCAAGCAATCCTGTAGATTTATAGGCTAATTCTATAGCTTTCAAACTTTCATGCTGCAGTTTTAGTATTGATCTCCTAAGAGTAAGAAACAGATGGGAAAGCAAGTGCTTGTCCCATTTTGTGTAACTTTATTTTGCCTACCTAAATCTTTCCTGCTGTTTCAACTGGGAATTATACTCCTTGCTTTCTATCATTATAGCTGCTGCAAGGAATAGTTGTACGTTATCAAACACTGTTTCCTTGCAGAAGTAGCTACTACAATCCCTACATGTAGTCTGGTTTGTAAAGCAGTTTGGTTTGGTTCAGAATAGAAGGAAGATTGTTGTAACAACATAAAGTGACACGACAATGGACATTAGAAAGCAGAGCATATTGGAATATATTTAGAAATGTATCCAAAATACAGATGACAGATGTTACATACTCTGGTCCCAAACCACTCATAATTTTAAGAACGTGATTACCCCTCAGTGACTTCAATAACATTACTCGTAAGTATGAATGTAAGTTTATCCTTAAGTACCTTATTGAATTAGCACTTTGGTAACATCTTGTTTATTGTCAAATAAATCTATAGGACAACTGGACATTTAGTGTACCACTTTTTGCTTCTTATTCCTCCGGGTACAGTCAGAATTTCACTTAAAGGGAAGTACAGCATTCATCCATTATTTCTAAAGTTGAAAATTAGCAGGCTTAGCAGTGCAGACTTTGTTGTAAAGCCTAGATAGTATCTCATGAAGAATTAATAACTTGTAAGTGGTACATGAAATAGCTGTCATAAGTTTAATTCATACAGAAGGAATAAATATTTCTCTCACAACATGAGCCTCTGTGGAGGAACCTCAGAAAGCAGACAATATGTCAATTAAGGTATTCAAAAACAAAGGCCCTCTTAAGTGTGATTTTCAAAGCCACTTTGGGTTAGTTCTGTTCTTAGCAGCAATCAGTTCTCAGAGTTTTACTGTACTCTGCATATACCATTAAGGCATCATGTGACATTCTTAGGCAGGCTCAATTAAGTCACCTCTGACTGCAAATGAAACAAAGTTTTAAAAATACACAGTGAAATCAGAGATTATAAAAGAGATCGGAGTGAGAGATCTAATGAAGTTTACACAATATGAGGAGCTTGACCAGTAGTAGAAGCAGAAATACAAGCTTGCCTCACACTTAAAATAAACAGGTTACAGAACAGATTACAGTGAGTTAAAAAAATGATTGTTCTGTTTTCATATCTATTCCTCCTTGGGCTTCTCTACTCAAATGGTCAGTAAGACAGACACTATCTGTAGTGCTAAGGGCAACTTTGCACTTCAAGTAAAACGACAACTAGCAACTCATTTTACATACACCAAGTGGCAGCCATTGGATTACAATCTCCTGTTGCTGCCAAACCACACTGGAACAGGAGGTAACAGGATAAAGAGCAGACTGTACAACAGCAGCAATGTGCTAACCCTTTGTTCCCACTGCTCTCAGACACACACACTGGCTTCAGTGACAGAACCAGAGGCATAACAAGGTTCTCCAGGTTTATTTACTGCAATACACAAGAGCTGGGTGTACTAAATACCTCTGCAAACCAGGGCGTTTTTATCTAGATAAGATAGAGTACAAACTTCAGACACTCGTGACCAAAAGCATTTATCAGCACAGTACCAGGTTTCATTAAGAGGCCATGTTGTCTGAAAGAGCTGTTTTCTTAAGTCCAGAAGCCCAAGTCTTTCTCTCTATGACTTTCTATACTGTTTGATTATTGACTTCAGTCATTACAACAGCCTGTTCTCACAAATTAAAAGGCTCTACCGTAACTGAGGATGGTAGCACCTGAATGGGGTTTCATATACAGCTGAACTGAGCTAAGGACTTGCTGCCATCAACCTCTGCAGCCTCTGCTCTTCCCTCCTCAATCACTGGCTCCCGGCCACATGGCCTAGCACTGTTATGCAGGCTCTGACATATGCACCCTACCTTGAGCCTATTTAATTCACCAAAACAGCAGAAAAGTACCCACGTATTCTGGGTTAGTGTTCTGCCCTATTAATTAGCTAAATCAGTTTCCAGAGGAGTCCAGACACACTGGTGCTAATTCAGGTTAAGCAATGGCGGCATAAGACCAGAAACCAAGAGAGAAGAAAGATGTGGGGGGAGCACGACCTTCCTTTTACTAGTAGTGAACTAATAGCTTGCTCAAGCCCTGACAGTGTATACCAGTAAGTATGGGATAGGACCAGACATACCCAATTTTGTGCTGCCTCAGCTATCTGCTTCCAGTAACAAAGTCTCCTACGCCACCCTACTCTATCTACACTTCTGTGCAGGATACAACCATCGTGTCTCCGCATAGCTTTAATATGTGTTCATACAGACACAACATAAAATTTGTGTAGTTAAAGGGGAATAGGCCTTCAGGATGGGTGGAAGAAGTTAGAGGAAAGACCAAACAAGGATTAAGACAAGATTTAGGGGGAAAGGCAGAAAGGCACTACAGTCAAATTTATTCAGGTCTAGTCTCACATTTGGGCTTATCTAAGATGACGCTAGTAACAGAAAACAAACATTTCTTCAAACACATGCAAATCTGCAAGCCCCTGTAATCTTCATAAGGCTCAGAAGTTGCTTTTCCTCTGGTCACTGATGCCTTTAATTTGTTCTTCACAAAGGCTGGCTGTCCTCATTACAGTTAACCTTAGAGGCACATACACAGTCTGCACCTTAAAGAACAGCAGGCGGCAGAAGTGAACAGAAGGAACCGAAAGTATTGGAACGAAAGAAGAGTTCTTAGGACTGGCTGACTCTTAGAATCGTGCACCAAAAAAACCACACGGCAAGACAGACTGAGAAAGAGGAAGGAAGTCCTCTTGAAAACTGATAGTGAATGAAAATATTAACCCCTACTTCCACTACATGATAGATGTGTTGCCAGAGTCATTTGGGATTCAGTCAGGCAGATAACACTGCAATCACTACAGTAGGAAGTGGTTATTACTTTGGGCTAATATGAGTTAAACATAGTGCATACAAATACCCAGTAAAATTAAAAATAACAGTATACAGTCTGTTGACATCTTTAACAGAAAGGCATTCTAGGTTGGTACCATCAGCTTGTTAAACAACTAGCAGAATACTGAAGGAGAATTAGACTTACTGTGTCATTTTTCAAATTGGCTCAGTCTTGGCATTAGTGATTTCAGCCATTACTCAATACTGGTTTTTAATAACTCTTTTTTGGCCAAGATTTTGGTAAAAATAAATTTTAAACATCCGACTACATTATTCTAGAATAAGAGAACAGTGAAAGATACTTACTTTTTATATGTGTTGCAAGAGACAAAAACAGATTTTCCACAGATTTATTAAAACTTCTAGACTGTCCAAGTTCCTGCAAATGGGAGATGCCAAGAGTAAAAAAAAACACAAATCCTTTGCTGTTTTAAAGTTTCCATGCTCACATATCTATAGACCATGTAACAATGAAGACAGTAAGGCTGCAGTCCTTTGGTCACTTCTGTAGACATCTGAGGACACATGTGGATATGACTGAAAAGTGTCACAGTAATGTATGAAGATGGAAAATAACCTTTTCAGTTCCATACTCTTCGATAAACAAGTGGAACTCTTGGTAGGAGGACCACACAACAATTTAATAAATACAATTAATTACATCATTGATTTGCTGTAATGTATTTAAACATTCAAGTAGGATACTCCTATTACAGATGCTCCTGTGCCTCTGAAGCAAAGAGTTTTAATCAAATTCCTGTTAATTACATATTAGAATGTTTACAGAATTGCAATAGGCTTCAAAACCAGGGTCTGAAGACTAAGTCCAAAATGGACTGAAATAGTAATTTAGTGCGATTTTGATGAGTTTGAGTCATGTCCCACTATTCTGTCCATTAGAAACTGTAATGCAAAGGCAACCAACCATCAAATTCACTGTTTTTCACTCAGTAGTGAAAGTAACACACAGAATGACCGCTTCATAAATGATGATGGAATGACTATCATAGGATCATGGGGACCTTTAGCAAGGAGGGGAGCTCAGGAGATCTCAGTCCAGCCTTCTTGTACTGAGGCACCAAAAACCAGGTGCAGTATTCTAGTGCCAAGTAGAATGGTTATTCAGTTCCCTCAAAACCTGAAAACTAATTGAAAACATTCCTCAGGATAGCCTCTGACCTTGCTCTCATGATGCAGCACAAAAACAGTGACAAAGGAACAGAAGGCAGCGTTTACATTGCGAGATGATACTACAGCAGTTGCTGTTTACTGGATTCCTGTGACTGGCCTTCTAAGGATGGCATCCTAAGAGGTGCCTGTCTATGCGTGTGTGTTTTGCAGATACGTACATTTACTGTCACACTGCTTCCTGCCGTGGATTCTGTGAAAGGAGGTGGAGTCGGAGGTACAACAGAGATTTTACTAGAAATTTAAGAGACAATAAACAGCACAACAATTAATATGTTATGCTAGCAGATGGATAAATAAACCACATTCATGCACAGTACCTTTATTTTCTGCCTTTCCTGCAATCTAAAGATCTGGGTTGAGAACTTGTGTCTTTAAAAGTTGCAGCACAGGCTTATTGTCTGTTTGTAAGAATTAGGACTATGTTTCTATCTTCTTAATCTTGGGCTGCTCTAGGCAAAATTATTAACTTTAAACAAACAAAAAGAACTAATTTAGGACAGGCTTCCTAGACTTCTATATGGTCGACAGTATTGTAATCTGTGTTTCAAGTGTTAAAATACAATTCCTGTGTAACACAACCCCTCTCTTTCAGAGATGTTTTCAGAAAACAGTCATCTTTACTTACAATACTCAAAAGATCATCCCTTGCCTAGGCCCAGAGCTTTCAGAGCCCCTTTACAGCATTCCAGTCATTTTATCTGTTGTAAGTAGTCCCCATTTGTAAAAAGAAATCTGTTATCACACCACAATCACAGATCCTAAAGGGCAGCTGGTAAACTTTCTTTTTGATTCTTTTATTTTTACCACATCTAGGTAAAAGAACGTCCTTATGCAGAGCTGTTTAGGATCATATCTAGGTGACTAAAAGTTTCTGTCTTGTGCAGCTGTGTCTTGCCAGATACTTAAAACTGAGGCCATCTCTTTGTATTTTTTTTTTTTTTAAGGAAGAAGATTTCTTTAATACAATGTAGTTTAAGTAGTAATTATTTTAGTATATATCATTGGTAAAAATATGAGTATGATCATGCTTAGGCCAATAATCCAAGTATTTATTCAGGGTAAACTGGATTTTTTACTTGTTTTAAGTCTTGCAAGCGGACACATCTTACTGAATACAGAGATTCTTGTCTACTGTTTATTCTCAAGCTATCAAATCAACAATATTTTCAGTTGAGCAAATAATTACGCTATTACTATTATATCTAGTAAATAATATTAATCTCTAATCATTTAATGGTAGTGTGTAAATTTGAAAGATAATAATGTAAACAGCTATGCAAAATATACAAGCAGATATAACAAAAATAATGCACATCCCTTCAGTTCAAGTAAATAAGACACTATTACTCTAAATCTAGTACTCTTTTGTACTTGATATTCTTTCTACAGATTGCTGGTGGCTAAAAATGGCAATTTTTCTATGCTTTTATTGTTAAAAAATACAAACTGCTGGCTGGTTTATAATACACAGTATATCACCTACACAAATTCTCAGTGTTCTAGAAACATCTGTCCTGTTATGAGACTTACCTCAGTTTCTGATAAGATTTCAAGAGCTTTGCACCAACTGTCTCATGTCTGCCTGTGAAGGAGGAAAAAACCAAACACCCAAAGGTCATTTAGCAACAACACTAACACCTGCATAATATTTTTTAAAATCCATGCCTTTTAGGAACCAGCCTATATTTCTAGAAGCTCATGGACATTCAAGTCAGTGAAATTCTCCCCTACCTGATGTATCATCATAAAACCAAGCAACACCTGAGTTTCTCCTGCACCACACATTGTATCATAGTTTCACCTTCACCTCTTGTCGGTGACACATTTTGACCAGCTCTTTACAAATGCTGAGGACAATCATGTATGGATGCTAACAGACCCATTCCTACAGGTTGCTAAGTGCTCTCAGCCTCCTGAGGTCCAGGAGACAGGTAGTGCATGGGCCCACTGCCCTAGAGCACACTTCAACCATAAAACTCAAACACTATAGAAAGCTTGAAAATGTGTACAAGAGCAGGCACATGGTCAGCTCTTGCATCTTATGAAAAATTCTTTTCACTTTTCCTACTAAGGACCTGGACAATCATGAAATTGCATGACTGGCTCACAAACATGAGCAAACCCCTTTGCCACGGCCACCCCTGTGGGGCAAATAGCAACCATGTCGTGTTCCTCAGGTGAGCAGCCACGTGAGGTAAAGAACACCAAGGAGCAAGTGCTCCATCAGGCACAAACAATGAGGACTCACAAAAATGTAGTTTGCTCCTGAGTGATGGCAAACAGAAAGAAGGGCTAAATGCATGTAACAGATTGCCAACTGAAAGTATTTGGAGGGGTTTTAAACACTAGTCATTCCTAATACAGAAAGCAGCATGTGATCCACACTTTGCTGAGGATGTCATTAATTATACCATATTATTTACATGAAAGTAGTAGACCTTTGTGGTGCTAGAAAGAATAATTGACTTAGATTTTCAATTCATCAGTAAAAGCAATCTACCACTTTTATTAAAATTTTCTTTTTATTCTTTAAGTAGAAGCTACAAAAAATTTAAAAGCAGCATACTTTTTTTTTTTTTTACTCTGCAACATGAGATAACATCACTGTAACAGGTATTTTTTTCAGTTAAAAACATTTTCCAGTGAATACCTCACTTGTGTTATATTTTCAAACCAAGAGAGGGCACTGTCTCTCCAGGCTTGAAGGATACATACCTACAACGGCTGCTGTGTAACAAAGTTTGCTATTTACTGATCCCTTCAATTTTATCAGTTGGTCTCACCAAAGGAACTAAACAAAACATTTCTCCCTGCAGGCTTATCTTTTGTATAGTCTTAGATCTTTGTGACTTCAGCAGTACTACTATTAGTCTAAGTAAGCAAAACTCTTCAAGTTCCCATGAAGCTTTGATAATGCAAAGTGAGAACTCATTTATTTTACAGGAAAGAGGAACAGTCAATACCTTCCGATATCAGATTCGGGATCTGAGAACAACATAGCATTTTCCAGTAACAGAGAGTGTTAAAATCATTAGCTTTAGATTTGCTAAAAAAGTATGAGTGGAAAATTATAAACAATGGTTATAGAATAGAACAGTGCTTTAAAACATCAGTCAGCTAATACTTTAGAAAACAGAAATTGTGTTAGCTGGAATGGAATTCAGTTAAATAGTTCAAATGGTAAATTAATTATTTTATCAGGAACTGTAGTTGTTTCTTAACATGCCACCTGCTATCTCTCATGACTATCTACTACCCCAAATTTGCCTGATTACATTCTTCCATGTATAAACTTCTTCCTAGTCAAGTTTCCCAAGAGGCCCAGTGCCTTCCTTCTTACCAGCTGCTCCTAAATCTAGATGCGATGCAGATACTGGAAGTGAAACTGTAATGCTTAGCTACAGACAGGAACAAAGTGAAGTAGTTGCCTATTTGAAGTGGGGCTTCAAGGGAAAAAGGAAGGAAATCCTCTCCACGCCACCAGTCATTCCAGGTGAAAATGAAGACCAACAGCCTTTGGCTGGTGAAACACATTCCCCACAGAGCAATCCATTCACATCCTCTATAGTTTATTTTAGGGCTTTGTATATTTAATTGCACTGAAAAGACTGAACACAAGGCAATGGCACTGCTGATTGAAGGTAAAGAAACAGGAAGTGTTTAGCTCCCTGTTGGTTTGTAACCACTACATGTTTTTATTTGGTTCTTTCATTTCTTTAAGCTTTAAAACTACAGTTGTTTTCACAAAAAAAAAGTTCTAACAAACAACGGATGCAAGATCGTTTCCTTTCTGCACACATTTTTTAACATTTCTGTAGTTATTTCACATCATTGTATTTCTTGGAAGACTTACATGCTCATTAATTCAAATTCATATGGCCAGCAATTTTCTTAGTCTTATTACTCATACAAAACAAATTATACTTCTAAAGAATTTTGCTAGTTTGTGTTCATGTTTTATTTAGTGTATAGACAGATGCACTGCATGGTAATTTCTGACAAATCTCTTACCAAGCAGCAGAGACATGAAATAACGTGACAGACTACACTCTGCGTTTCACTGAGATGAGAACTACACATTATGGAGCAGTTTATGTCTGTTCCAGTGATTACCTTCATCTGGATATTTCTTTGCTCGTTCCTCAAAGAACCATTCACCAGCTTTGATTTTCACATCTCTGAAAAACAAGCAAAAGACATCTGAATCAACATTTTTCCAAAATGCTTTTCTTCAAATATTTGATAACTATTTAACAATCCAACAAGAATCTTTCTTAATCCTACCACCTGCTCACTCCATTGACTGATTTTGCTGGGAGTCTGCATAAAAAGGATTCTTCTCCCTCATTTTCTCTCTCCTACCCCCACCCCACCTTTTTGCTATGTAGGACTGCCCAGGGACAGAAATACATACTGCTCTAGGCATTGCTCTGAAGCCAGAAGTCCTGGGTCCACTCCAGTTTGTACAACAACCTGCAATTTAGCCCAGGCACTTGTGCTGACTGCTCACAGCTCCAGCCTGGTCTGAGAAGCAAGGAAAGCCAACGACAGAGGACATGCTCTCAAGGAGAACTTGAGATGACTATCAGGGAGCACTGAGCTCCACCAACCTGATGGTGTGATAGCTTTGTGACTCATCTCTCTCCATTTTGTGGAGGCTAACATCAATTATGTCAATGTCATACAAAGGTACCAGGATCAGAGGATGAGAAAAACAACAGTTTACAAGTATAAAATTATATCAGACTAAACAGCTCTGTTAAGAGCAGATTCTTGGCAGATTTGGCTCTTGCATTTTGCTGCTTCTAATGGACTTAGATGAAATCTGCAACCTGAATTTATCCATTATTAAAGAGACAAAAAGAATTTTAACTGAGGACAGGATTATCTAGAGTCTTCAAGTTCTAAATTCTCATCTACACATCTTACTAATTTTTAGAGCATATAAAACATCTCCATGCCTTGTGGATTTTCTGATGCTTATTATAGGATAAAGTTCAACTGCAAAAATTTCATCAGTGCAGGCATTGCTAAACTTTCTTCTCTATCCAGCAGTTCATTTTCCTTCTATGAAATTAATTTATTAACATTCCCTCTGCCAAAATTGCTTGAAATTGGCAACAACATACAGAAAGTTAATTCATTAAGGCTTGCCTCCTTAAAAAAGCAAAGTCTCTAAACACAGGAGCTACAGCAATACCCACCCAAGGCCATAAAACAAAACCCCTGGGTCTGCTATTTCACACCTCACTTCACTCTTTGTTAAAATAGCACATTACCTATAGATTGTCTGTTTGTTCTTTCTGTGGCTTGATGTTAAGGCATTTAATATACACCTTTTTAAGTACCTATTCAGAATAATTTCTTAAAAAATCACTACCTGTGTAGATTGCACTATTTATTTTCATGTCTAATCACAGATCCTTGAACGTAACTGAACACAGATGAGTTAAAAAAATGAGAGTAAAATACATTTACGACAAGATATTTATTTACTTTAGATGGAGATCTATTAACTAACAAATATCTGAAATCTCTGGTTGCAATAGATCTTCAAAGGCTCTGCACTAGCAGGGCCTCAACTCTCATCTCCAGCTTTCCCTTTATATTCTTCTCACTACCCATGATACAGGTATGATATGGTTATCTTCCCAGAGTTTAATCTCCAGTTCTGCATAGGATCATGCAATAATTAGAATACTAAGAGGATGAAAATAGATCTGGAAATGCCTTTTTTTTTTTTTTTTAAGGCTAAAGAGAGTATTAAACTATACCAACTCCATTCACATAAGAGACACCTCTTCCAGATGAAAGACACAAACTTTGTCAATCCACATGAACATTCACCTATCCCTGCATGCCCTTCCACTGAGGCATTTAAGGACATTTGTTACAAACATGAACCTAGTGTCTAGGAGATCTCAGGAGCTGCTGAGAACGTTTTGTTCAGGAAGAAACAGTTTGGTGCTAACCATGACTCAAATTACGGTTGCTCAGGACTTGAAAATCCTCTCTCACACTTCTTAGTCATCCTATTTTTCCCTCACCGGGGTAAACAAAAGGCACTGAGTAGCATTTACTACCCTGCTGTACTCTCTACCCTTCTTGAGATTTGCAGCCTTGACATAAAGCTCACTGAAGGCAACAGAAATTTGACCAATTTTAATGGACTTTGTATTGCAACTAAACAAGACCAAATGTGCTGTCTCTTTGCTGTAAAAAGAATTTCAATGACAAGTGAACAATTCCTCTATATTACCAAGACAAAAAAGTAAAAATGTCTTTTAATTGATTTAAATAATGCTTTCCTGCTTTTACCATTAAATGTCTGGGCAAGCTTATGAAATAATTAAGGGTGTGCAGCACTACACAGAGCATCTAGCTGAACAATTAGCTACTCCCTGTAGGGGATTTCCACTGTGGCCACCAAATAACTGGAAACAAATTTAAAAGACCAGAAAGTGGAGGAAGGTATCTGGAGAAGGATATGGAAAGTTAACTCTTTAATCCTTCCTTTCAGTGCATATAGAGTGAAGCACAGATACTAAAACATATGCACCAAAACCTGCTTTGAATAAAATATAGATGGAGTTAATCTGCCTATTTTATGTACCAATTGCAAAATAAACCAAAGATTTTGAGAACATTTTTTTAGTGGTAGTTTATAGCCTCTTCCAAACTACAGAAAATTACTTCAAACTGCTAGTAAAAATTCATTTCGCTTAAGACCAATACTTTGCCTTAACATTTCCTAGGCATTATTTAAAACTCATTTTGCCATCTTATGAGGGAGTGAAGTAGTGCATTAACCTTGTGTAGGCATAAAAAAAAATTTAATCTGAATATTTATTCAAGTATATATATCATCCATCTTGTTAATTTCTAAAACTATCTTTCTTTGCCTACAGAATATTTTTCATGAAAGGTAGAAATATAGCCAAACCATTTGGTTTAGAAAGATTCTGACTAATAGAATGGACTATGATGGAATATATTTTGACTTAAAAATTGTACCAATACAGTAAAAGAAAGATTGTTTCATGGAAAACAAAACCAGAAGTGACATAGTAAAAGAAAAAAACAACGAATTAAAAGTAAACAAATTTGGTTATCTGACCACATTTAAACAATCTTGATAATGTTGTTAATACTTTCCGCTTTTTAAACGTATATAAAACATGACCTCAAATCATTAATCTGTCCAGGTTCCTCACTCCTCCAGTGTAGGGCGGGGAAGGAAATTAAATTGGCTATGCTAAACACAGCACCTTCACCAACCTGTTATGATGCACTGGTTCCCCCATTGAACCAGGGCAAGGAGTTCTAGCCATAGTTCAGAAACAAGCAACCGTTCCTATGCTTCCCTGTTACCACCTTTGTCCACTGCCTCTGGCCTACCCTGAGGACCCATTTGGCTAAACACAGGGCAGGAAATCCCGACTCTGTGAAGGGTGACACAAAATTCCCATCGCTCCCAGGCCTTCATCCAAGGTTTCCACTCTGCCATCTACCCACAGCAGCGGCGCCTCTCACCCGTGAGCGTAGCAAACGGTGCACTGCCAGAGGCAGCGGTTCCGTGGGACGCGGCAGGCGGAGCACACGCGGTGGCTGCACCCGTTGCACACCGCGCCCCTGTCCAGCAACAGCCCCAGAGCTTTCTGACACCGAGCACAACTTCTCTCCTGGTACTCCTGGCTCACGTTTCTTGCCCCTTTCCATCGAAGCTGCTGCAGCTGCAGTTTCAGTTTCCTAATCCCCCAGGTTAAAAACAAACAAAGAAACAAAAAGTCACAAGTTTTCCCAAAGGATAAAAAGGCATTAGTTAACAACAGGTGTAAAAAAAAAAAAACAACCACAAACCATCAACAAACCAAAAAAACCCAAACAATACATTTGGAAGGACATCAAAGAGGAAAAAAGAGGAAGAGTACTTCTGAGAAAAAAAGGAAAACAGAAATAGAGGATTAGGGGAATGGCAGATACCTTATTCTTTCCTCCTCTGTTTTTCTCACCATCTGGTCACGGTACAGGACTTCCAGAACAGCCTCTCGTTCCAGTTCCTTAAGGAAGTTTAGATTAAATTCACAGGCCATTTTCCCCAAACTTGCTTTGTAGACTTCCAACTTATGGTTCTACTACATCCATAAGGATGGACACTATATAGAGCGTAACATGGTCTGTTTACCAGGTGCCTGAGCTCTAACTTGATTGATGACACATTTCACTGTGCCATACCCTTGAAGAGAAAAATAACCACATCTGTCTTCACACAAGTCACCATTTACATGTCTCTGCCACCTAGGAAATATGAATAGGTAGCAAGGTCACAGCAGTCTTGTCTTTTTCACATGAAAGGACTTCTTGTTCTTTTCTTTTTTCTGTTTTTGCTGAGAGTCGTTCCAAGAAAAGAGAGCTTGCAGCAAGGTCCCAAATTGGCCTTTAACTGTCACCAGATGGAGGGACAATTCACCAAGAGACAGTGTAAAGCAGTGGGGGGAACGCTTGTTTTTTCATTTGGTCTTGTACATTTGGGATTTCTGGTCCTAGGGGAAAAAAGTACATGTTATTATCTCTTCTCCTCACCTCTTCAAGACATTTCAAACAGCACATGGAGACCTCATTTTGCTATACTCAGGGCTTTCATGCACTAATTCAGATACAGCAGAGGTTTTAAGACAGTCCTGTTCTTCAGACAGTCTCATCATACTGTCCATTGGCACTCAGCCATGTTATCTTCACATTTTTTGAACAGTCAACAAAAAATAACCAATGAAGAAGCTTTAAGTCAGTTTTGAACACAGGCCTGTAGGCCTCATGACCAGAAGAGTCATACTGGTTGAAAGAAAGGTGCCCTTTTCTAATCTCATCTTACTGAAAAGACAGAACGTCACAAGACTAAGAGGAAAGAAGGAAGGACACTCTCTAAGATTCACTTCTATCAATTATTTATACCTGATAAGTCTAGATAAATAGTTTCATATCCAATAACACTATTATCTTTGTTAATACCCACAAACACTAAAGAGTCAAGATATATGTTATTTCCAGCTAAGTGCTCTAATGAGTGTGGCCTCAAACTGGTGATGTTAACATACAAATATATTAGAAGTATAGAATTAAAACAGAATCACAATTGTACTTTAGATACATTTTGTCACCTTCACTTTTGTAAAACTCCCACTAAAACAGAAAATAATGTTCATATACCTTGCAGCAAAACGGAAAGAGAAAACTATTATTCAATCTAATTCAGCTTACTTGCCATATTCAGTTTTAATACTAATGCCTAGTGTGCATTACAAGAAAAGTACTTCCTCTTCTGGTACACCAAATACTAAAGATGTGTATATGAAAAGTGGTGAAGTGTTTCAAACTTAATCTGAACTGAACACATATAGTCAGATTCTAAACAGAAGGTCTAGACAGCAGGACAACAGGATAAAGCTTTCTCAGAGTAGTTACTGAAGCTTCAATGATGGACCTCAGTTGAAAATCTGAAAAACTATCTGCAACACTGAATTTTAAGTTGGTTTTTTTTTCCTTTAAAAAAAAAATAAATAAAACTTCACACACATATATATAATAATGTATCTTCGTCAGTGCAGGAAACTAAGTAACTTAATTGAGGCAAGCTGTATGTAAAGTAGTTTCTCACAAAAAAAAAAGGGCAGGAGGAAATAATTTGTGTTTATAAACCATATGCATTCTATTTTCATATATTTATTTATCTATTTTTTGGTGAAACCCCTAACAGACACCAAAAGGACAAAGTATTTCACAGAAGCGATGTTAACAAATAAAAAAAAAAAAAAAAAAGAGACTGGTTTCCTGTGGAAACAAAAGAGACAGAGATAGGCATAATCGTATTTTATTTCCTTACCAACTGCAATTTCACAGGAAATTACTCAGTTGAAAAGTAAAACCCCTGAGCAATACTTTTAAACACAATATATGTAATTTTCAAAGGCCCCTGCATCCTTCACCTGCTTTTATCTTTTACTTCAAGAATACCTGCCAGGTTTGATAAGCATGTTTAGAGCCTTCAACTCCATTTAAGTCAATATAATCTGAAAAAGCAGCCAGTACAAACTTGGGAACTTCTACACTATACAAGAGACCAAAACACCCACTACAGCGTAAGTTGCGTTTTCTATAACCTCTTAGAATCTCCAAAGGCTAGCATATCTAGAACATCATCAGGAAATCTTGCTGAAGCATCAATAAAAGATGCAAAGTACTAAGAACAACATCTGCAGTTAAGCAAGCACAGAAATATTTGTTATTTAGTATTTCCTCAAATTATTTTAAAAAGGACTATCTCCCTTCTTCACAGAAGAGCACAAAGTTTTCTGTATTTCAAGCTTGTTTTGGAAGATCAGTTTCAGATGACATATTAGTATATGAAGAATTCTGAGGGCATAGAGAATCTTATTTAGAGACTCATATAAACCGTTTAAAAATTATGTTTTCAGCTATTCAAGCTTGCACAAATTTAAATATTGTGAGGGAAGGAACAGCTTGGAGCTTTGCCTTATTTCTGCCCTGTTTTGCTCACAGCTATTCCCCTCAGGAGAGACAGGATCTGCCCTAGCCAGGGAAGGGTTCTTCAGAAGGGCATTTGACCTCAGCCTGTCAGTGACATCGCAAACACCATCATCAAAAGCAGTTGGTCTATTGCTACACCTCGTACCCTATTCACATTCATACATCATAAGCACTGAACCTAATGCCATCAGTAGACTGCCAACAGGGATTAGGATGGAAAGGCTAGGATCCTATTATGAAACAACAGAATAAATTTACTGCAGAGCAAAATGCCAGGGGCCCCCATGTCCTACAGTATCTGCACTATGCAGAGAGGGGAAAAAGGCAGCGTGTCTCTCTCACCTCTGGGCGAGATCATCGCATGCTGCAGAGAAAAAAAGCTTAAAATACACCATCTAGCCAGCACCTCTATCAATACCTGGACAGTTTTACCATTTGTTTGTTTTCAAAAAAAAGTCTTCCTGAAGTATTAATCTCTGTCAATCCTTGTGTTCTGTAAATTTTTCTTGCACATTCAAAGATAACTTGAAATCTAGCTTAATTATGAGGTAACTTTAAGAATAAATGAGTATATTCCCCAAAATGGGAGGCACTCCTTGTGCCCCATAACAGACTTGAACTCATAATCATTTAACAAAGGTGTTCAAATTGGACTGACAAACTCTCTACCATTGTAAAAGAAGAGCTTTTCTAACACCAACACTGTCTGCATTAGATTAGGTTTTTGGCAGTAATTAAGAAGTGGTGTTTTCAGTAATGACCCTCTTTGAGAGGAAAAAAAGTCTTCAAAAACTTTACAGATACCCTTCTTTCACATTTACTCATTGAAGCAAGCTAGCTTGCTGTTTTACACAGTCAGCCAACCTCAAAGACAAGCATCTTCTGTGTAAAGCCAAAAGCAACAGCAACTTCTCCAGTAAATATCACAATGCTTCTCCATTTTCAGAACAAAGCTCACATAAAATATTTTGTTCAGGTATTTTAAATAATCCAGTGTCAGGCACCTTGCAGATAGATCAGCAGCTTTTTTGAAAATGTCATGTGAAGTCTCTAAAGCCATCATAAAGGAGACAAACATGGCCATGCCTTAGGAGAGGGAGGCATGCACACACAGAGTGCCATCTCAGAAGACTGTGCTTTTTTCTTTTAAATCAACCTATAATAGTATGTAGCTAGCTAACTGAAGATCAGTCAAAAGGCCTACCTAAGACAAGTTTGCAAAAGATAACTTATTTTTTAAAGTTTTGAATTTACAAACACCTGACTTAGTGAGCTTTTTCTCGTAGAAATTTTGCATGTAACGCATTATTGATCTACTTTTTGATCTTTAAGCATTACCAAAATAATGACAACTAAATAAGTATAAGTAAACTGATATTCTGAAGTCACAGACTTCACTGACTTGAGATAACTGAATTACTTCATCCATTAACCGAGAAGGTGGATGTAATACATCAGGAGCTAGGACATAGATTGAGAATGTTCAGGGTAAAATTTATCAAAAAAGCTACTGTAATTTGTGGCCATTTTCTATTCTGCAGAGACAAATCACATAAACTTATTCTTAGTTAAGAAAATTACAGGTGTTACTTTATGCTGCCTGGCTGCAGCAGTTTAATTTTCACATCCTTGCATACACATAGGCAAGTTACTTATAAGTTCTTTGATAACGTCTTACCCAAGTTATGTCTTCTGATCTCAGTAACACCCCATCACAGCACTTAAAGTAAAATAAAATAAAAAATCCACCAACCAAGGCACTCCCCCACCCCCCACAAAACAACACAAACACTTGAGTTCCGATTGTGGTAATGAAGTCTTTGCAGTTTAAAAAACAAGTTCCCAGTAAGCAAAAATGCAAAATGCATCCCCCTGTGCAATGTCATACAGAATAGATGAAAACTATGTACTTACCTTCTCAGCAGCCAACAAAGAGAGATGTGTGGAAGTAAACAGCTTTTAAGAGATGAGTAGCACTCATTAGTTATTTCTCTTTCCTTAAAGAAAACTGGTGGCTGTTCTCCACGCCCTTTCCTTCAATTGGACACCAAAATTAGATTGACATATGTCCAGAGAAGCATCCTCAAAACAGCTAAAAGTAAATGCACTCAAAGAAGAGCTCTAGTGTCACAATAGCTTTTGCCAAGTCTCTGGTTTTGTCAGCAGCAACTAGCAATCAGAAATTATTAATTTTTCTGAGATTAAAAAGAGACTCAACACAATAGACTATGAAACCTGACTGATATCATCAAAATATGCTCAGTCTTCAAGCCACACACAGGAAGGGAAATGGCTTTGAGTTCTACATAATTTCTTCTTCTGATACTATAGATGTGAAAATAGTACTAACCTCAAAGCCCCCAGAACTTGCACAGAAAACTCCATTTGTATCATAAACAGTTATTTCCCAGAAACAAAATAGTTTTCTACTCAGGTCTGAGTAACAAAGCTATTAGTATAGATAAAAGTTCAAAATAATTATTTTTTTATGCACCTGCAAAAAGAAGACAATTATTTTACCTCATAACAGGAAACCTGACCTCAGGTA